TGTGCATGAAGCGCTGGGTTCTGTGGACACGATGGGAGGTGTGGGAGGAACATTGGTGATGGCTGCATAATATGGTGACTAGACGAGATGTCACTGAGCGGGACACAGATGGCCAGGTACCTGTCGACGGCCACGGCCAGGAGGCTGAAGATGGAGCTCTGCGTGAGCACCAGCACGAAGCAGGCGAGGAAGAGGCAGCTGTGGAAGTCGGTGCAGAAGCCCAAACTAATGGTGATGGCAAAGGGGATGGCGAAGAGTCCCACGGCCACGTCGGCCGCCGCCAGAGACACCAGGAAGTAGTTGGTGGGCGTCTGCAGCGCGCTCGAGGTGCCCACCGCGGCGCACACCAGCACGTTGCCCGCCACCGACAGCACGGCGATGGCCAGCTCCAGCACCACGTACAGCACATCCTGCGCCTCCAGCTGCATGGCCGGAGCCGCGCGTCGCCTACCGGGGCCGCGCCGGGCGCGGGGCAGCCGCGTGGGCCCCGCCGGGCATGGCCTGAGCCCTGCACCACGCGTCCGCCAGCCGCTCACTACCCGCCGGGCGCTCGGGCTCGCAGGGGCGGGGCTAACGGCAGAGGCGGGGCCTACGGCCGGGGTGGGGCTCTGGCGGGGCGGGGCTCTGGCAGGGCGGGGGCCAGCTGTCCCAGCTCCGCAGCAGAAACACCTCTGAGCCGTCCACGGAGGTCCGAGGTCCGCGCATGCGCGGGACTACGCCCCGGGGGGCGGGGGGGATCGGGGTGCGCGCGGAGGCTCACCTGATGGTGGCGAGTATGTAACAGAGACAAGTCCCCTAACTTTCCCTACTGAGTCAAGCTGCACGGTGTGGCCCGAGCCGTCGCACTGTGTCCGGCGTGGGCCACCCCTGGAGTGGACCGAGCTCTGTCCTCGGGCGTCCCCGGTCCCTGGCGCCCACGGAGAGGCTTCCCCTGGAATCGTGGATAGCCACCCGGGGGTCGGGGGTAGGGGCGGGCGGCCCTCCTCCGAAGCCTCTCCAACAGTGCATGAGTTCACCTGCAAAGGACTGGACTCCACAGGGCACCGAGGTAACCAGAACCGCTTGGGCTGCCTGGGACTTCACGGTTCCCCCATCTTCACCCGCCAAGGTCCCTCTGGGATACTTCGTCACACCACCCTGTCCCCCTCAAAGTCACTGTCATCTCACATCGCTGGCTACTTGCCCTCCTGACCACTCCTCCCAGGTTCTGCCACCTCCCTAAAATGCTAAGGGTGTCCTTGGGAACTCAGTCACCTCACGCACTCACTCAGTCACTCCCTGACTCTCGCAAGCACACAGGCATGCACTCACTCACAGGCTGACTAACTCACGCATACACTCACTGACTCACACACGCACGCACTCATGCCTGTACTCATGCCCGCATACACTCCCTCACTCACTGTTTCTGACTAGTACCCCCTGTGGATGTCCAAAACGGACTCTTCACAGGCGTAGAAAGTTATGGTGGTTTCGAACTGTTGACCACTCAATTAGCACCAGTCATGTTCCCATAGTTCAAATTTTTATTGCCCTGCAGATGATACACTGGAGCCTCAGACAGATCAAGTAGCATGCCCAAGAGCACTTCCCTGGAGGAGGGGAAAAGCAAAAGAATGAGAGGAGTCTTCCTGGGAGGAGGCTTTTGCATGGGCAGGATTTGGTAATGTGGAGATATGGGGTAGGGAGCTGTGCTGGGCAGAGGTGGGACTGGCAAGGGCTAGCTCAGAGACAGCCACTGCAAGATGGTAGAGGAAGGAAGACAGTGGGCTCAGGACAGCGGTGCCAACTGGCGTGGAGTGTGGGGTGTTCAGCTGGAGTTCCTTGGGCACCAGCCCTGGAGGTTATTGAGCAGGGTGATGATGTCATCAGAGCTCTGTCTGGCAGTACTGAATGGAGAGTGATGGAGAGCTGGCAGAGAGAGAAGGCAGTGGGATGGAGGCCAGCTGGTTGCTTCCAGTGCTTCCCGCACACACTGCTTCCTCTGGGCACTGAGCTCAGCTCCAGCATTCCTTGTGTCTGGAAACCTCCTTTCACCTTTCTAGAGTCCAACTTTGGAGGCCCCATGCTGTAGTGGGACACATTGGGCCGCTAACCATAAGGTTAGCAGTTTGAAACCACCAACTACTTCATGGAGCAAAGATTTACAGGTTCAAAAGCCCATGGTGGCAGTTCTACCCTGCCCTAGAGGGTTGCTCTGATTCAGAATTAACTCCATGGCAGTGAATTTTGAAGCCCAACTTCCTTCCAGAGACTTACCATGAACTATCAATGACACCACTACCCCTCATGTTTGCTGAGTTTCATATAACTGGTGTCCACAGGGAGGAACCCTGGTGATGTGACAGTTACATGTTGGGCTGTGACCCCTATGGTTGGCAGTTTGAAACCTTCAGCATCTCCACAGGAGAAAGACTGGGCTTTCTACTCCCATAAGCAGTCTTGGAAGCCCACAGGGAGGTGCTATGAGTCAGCACTGACTGGATGGCAGTGTTTTGGGGTTGTTTTTTTAGGTGTCCACAGTTGGAACTCCATTCTTCTCCCTCCTCTCCCCATGCTACTCCCATGGAGCACTGTGCCTCCTGACTCACACAGCCACCCTTCTCTCTACACAAAATTCATTTAGGTTAAACGAATTGAATTATCCAGACTTCATGAGCCCATAGTTTGGAACTCTCTGTGGGATTTAAACATGACTCATTGGGTCCATGGGTGTGTCAGTAGCAATCACAGGTAATTATCTTTACAAGGCATTGGTAGTTCGGTGGTAGAATTCTTCCCTTCATGCAAGAAACCCAGTTCTTGTCAGTGCATCTCATGTGCACTCAGTGCATCCTCCTGTCAGTGGTAGTTTGTGTATTGCTAGGATGCTTCCAAGGAGTCCGGGTGGTGCAGTGGGTTAAGAATTGCTCTCATAACTGTAGGGTCAGCAATTCAAACTCACCAACCACTACAGTAGAAAGGTGAGGCTGTCTGTCTGATCCCCAAAAGATGTACAGTCTTGGAAACCATATGGAGCAGTTCTACTCTGGACTACAGGGACCCTATGAGTCAGAATTAACTCAAGGGCAATGAGTTATGTTACTTCCAGACAAAGACAGGCTCAGAAGAAAGGTCTGGTGATCTCCTTTTGAAAAATCAGCCACTGAAACCCTGTGGCTCACAACAGTTCAATGCCCAATCATAGAGCTGGCATAGGATTAGGCAGCATTTAGTCCGACTGTGCACAGAGCCCCCATGAGTTGTGGCCAACTCAACAGCAGCTAACAACTAACTCATTGTTCAAGAAACATAAAGAGGAAGGATAGGATCTAGAGGGGGTTTCATTTTGAAAACAACAGAGATGCAATAAACAGAGCACAAGACTCCATACTAGAGATCCCAGGTTTGACTTCTAACTCTATTGTTGACCTTCGAACCCCAAACTGAACTCATTGCCACTGAGTCTATCCAAACTCATAGCAATCTTATAGGACAGAATAGAACTGGCCCCTGTGGGTTTTCAAGACTATCCATCTTTATGATAATAGAAATCCTTATCTTTCTCCACATATCAGCTGGTGGTTTCCAACTGCTGATCTTGTGGTTAGCAGCTCAGTGTTTAATCCACTAAGTCACAGTTTCCTTGTGGACTACAAACATTTACTTTACAGAGTCAGGATAGCGTGGGCAGGAAGAGCTATCAGTGACACACCCACCTACAGGATCCAGACTGCTTAAAAAATATTACAGGGATGGGACCATTTGGATAAATTAAGACTAGAGTTGTTGCAAACCCTAGTGGATATTTAACTGTTAAAAGTGGAAAGGTATATTTTGTGAAACCATTGGCCTTCTGTGGAGTTCTTCCAGGAGTTGTTCCATCTCCTATTCCTGCCTCATTTTGTCTCAGCTGCCAGATCAAAATCCAGGTGGCATTCAGGTAGATTCAGTGTAGGTGCAGCCCTGGAGAGATAATTACCAGCCTCCGTTCATACTCCTATTGTGCTGTATTTAGTAGTTTTTCATCTTAAACCATGTCTAAGTAATTCAAGAAAAGGATGAGATTATGTCTCAATAGGCAGAAAATATGAACAAAGAGATATTATTATAAAAAAGAACCTAAGTGTTACAGCTCTTTTAGAATTTGT